TATATAGAGACAAGAATTGTTGCTAAGTTAAAATTTATAACACGATAGAATTTTTTTAAGGTTTACTACACTTACAGTTTTGGTGAAAACTTCGTTGGAAGTCTATCTAACAGACTTTTTGGAAGTCTATTACACTAGTTTCAAATTTTTATTTTTATCGTGTTAATAATTTTAATATATGATCCAACAATTTTATTTTTTTATTGTTAGGATAGTTTTGATTTCACAATTTTTTATTCATGCAATACTAATTTAACTTCAAATTATTTTAATTTTTGTTATATTCAATACTAGTAGACTAAGAAGAAATCTATTCTACCCTAAAATCAAGTAGACTTCATTTGTAGTCTATTAAACTATAAACTATGAACCCCAAACCCTATATTGTAATATATAAATTACTAAACATTTTAAACGTAAATTTATGGTATATAACAAAAAAATAATCTAAAATATAATCCTAAAGATACATACATCTTTGAACCTATTGCTACCAAACCATAAACACTGTCCAATACATGATTATCAAACCAATATGTATTCTTTAAATTGTTCAATTGTATTAAATTTTAATTTATTTATCTCAAATTGGTTTTTATACAGAGGATTTATAATAAAACTTTTACATAACTTAGTTTTATATATTTTTAAAATATTAATATATTATCAAATTACGACGTAGATTTTGGAATAAGTCTACTATATAGATTTCTTAAGAAATCTACACCATGTAGGCTTATATATGTTATATATATTCTTCCGAATGATATATCTGTAAAATGACTTCTTGTCTTTTGTCTGGTAACAGTGTTAAAATTCTATTACCATTTTCTGATTTTTTACAGAAGGACTGAGACAACAAAGAAACAATATAACATAAATAAAATTAAACACAAACTCCATAACTGGTTGGGACTGACTCTAAGCTAAAGAATCTAAAGCAAATGAACAAGACAATTTGAACAAAAGCTTGCCGCAAAATGAAGTCTGCAGTGAATTCGAGAACTGAGCCCGGTAGAGTTTGGCATCCCGATGATCAGTTCTTTATGATAGGAATCTTCAAGATCAGCTTACGAGGGCATCTTGACTTGCAGCCTTTACGGATCGACGCCTTCACCCGAGACCAAGACGAGCTTTATTTGGAGAAGGAGCCACCAAAGCCGCCACACACCACCGAACCTGCAACAAAATGACAGAGAAAACAAGTCCGTCTTAAGCCAAAACAGTCAGAAGGAAACCCAATATCAACCTCCTGAAACTTGCAGATCCGCACGCGCCGTCACGGAGAAGAGCACATGTGGTTGACAACTTTAACGATTGACCTCCTCGCACGCGTTCCCGCTACGGAGAACCCGCAGCCGACCAACCTAATTTGGAACCGATGGCAACTTTTTGTCTTTATTTGATCATAAGAGGTAAAAAGTAATTTTGTCATGTATTTAGATTAGTTTTGCAATTGATTATTTGGTCTGTTTTTATATTTCAAAACAACTTTTAAGATATATTTGGCAAATTCCCGAAAAACTTTTGACAAGAAATTGTAAAAGTCAAAACAGAAACCATGTAATTAATAAACTCTGTCTCTGTAATGTCTAGGAGATACTACTATCAGTGTTATTATATCTCTTGTTATTCAATAGAGACGACCAAAAAACATTCCTTTCCAGATTTGAGAGATTCATATCATTAAATTCACTTCTCAAATACACAAAATTGTAACCTTGTTTTCTGAGTATCTCAAGCGTAACCCATAAAAAGACCATGTAAAATGGCCTAGAAATGGGTTTTAACTCGGGATGCCCCATACCCCTCTAAAAAATTCTCCTTTAACCTTTTATTATAATATTATATATTTTTTATTTAAATTTAAATCGAAAAAGTGGCTAATTACGGTTTTAATATAAGGACATGAGTTATTTACAGGATCCAACCACCAAGATCCGACCCAGACCAAACAAACCGGACATATCCGACCCAGAT